TGGCACTGTGTCGGAGACAGGTTCTTTAATCCTGCCTGTCTGGTTAGGCTCCTCCTACGCTCACCAGACAAAACATGACAGACATGTTTACCAAATCCTTGATGAGAAGGAAGAATGAGGCTTTGGGAATTTAGGCCACGTAGTGAAAAGAGTGACAAACACAAGGATTAGCTCATGTGGACGTCAAAGTTTACTTCCAGTTGGATGACACAGTTTTATTTGTTTGAGCTATTAGCATTAATTTTTCAGTTTTTAGTGAAGTTTTATTTGGCTTAGTTGACTTACTTCCCTTACAACTACCAGAAAAAAATCACAGTTTGGTGTTAAAGTACTTCCTGGTACTCTGAAAGGCCTAAAGTGAAACTCCACACGTGTTCCCCTGATCCCCAACACAGCTGTCAGGAACGATGACAGAATGATAAATCATCTTGTAAACGTTTTGTCACGTGGCTGTTACGCCCATGTTTTTAGCCTTGCTAACTGTTCCTGTTGTGCTGCTCACAAATATGCAAGCCTTATTTACGTGTAACACACTTAAATATAAAGTCTGGAATTCTCGGTGTTCAACACACTAACAAACTATTTCTTTGTTGATTTTCAAAGCAGATTAATCTGACATAACAAACAATATACTATCTCCATTCTGGAAGTAAGGAGTACAACCTGCCTGTTTTGTTAAGAAAGCTATTATGATAACTCCAAATATTCCAGTCTCAACTAGTTTGGGTCAAGTTAATGGTTGATATGACTTCAAACACTGAGGCGTCCTCCCTAACTGATGTGAAAAGCACCTGATAAAATACAGAACAGATTTTTGAGTTAAATTAAAAAAGTCTTTGTAAAAGTGATGCCTGTGAAACCAGTTCAAACCTGGTTCCTGTCAACATTATGCCAGTGTGATTGCATAAAAGGAAGCAACGATTCAATATTAATAACTATAAATGATTAAAAAAGAAAACCCAGAATGGACAAAAAAATGCAAGTTGATAAAAAGGGATTTTACATGATTAAAGCAACTGACATGGAAAAAGAGACACAACAAAGTACTTTCATTATTATTATACATA